GCTTAACTGGTCTGCATGTGCTCTCTAAATCTGATATGTCCCCAGAATACTAAATTTATTGAGTTTGTACGTTATGGCGAGGTAGCAGATGAACACCTATTTCTGTGTAGCAATTCTTGAGTAGAAATACAGTTCACTGCACAGCGAACATCTGTTTCTCAACCTTATTCCTGAATTTCCTAGCAGTGATTGTGGTGGTTTTCCCAAGAAGGGTAAGGAATGTACTGGAGATCAGAAGGCAGGGTTTTGTCTTTCAGTTCAGCAGCTGTTTGTCTCTCCAGCCTGTAGGAGTGACCCTTGGTCTTTTTCTGTGTGAAAACTGAAGCTGGCATTTATGCAATCAGATCTACTTCTGATGATTATTTTGTTAATTTCTAACGCTTGTGGTCGATTTTATTTATTTTGATTTTTTTTTAAAAAAAAAAAGAAGTAGTTTGAGCTGGCTATCAAAAGAATGTTATCACAAATGAGTTGTGTTTGAAATCGTTCTCTTGGGTTTTCATGACATGAGGGTAATTTGCCTAAGAAAAGCCCCATAAACAGAGGCTGATAGCAGAAGGTGCCTCTTACTCATGCCCCTAGAGTCAGCGTGACAAGGGTTTGCTGAGAGCGTTCCTCACTAGTGGTTAGTTGTAATGACGTTCTTTTTGTCCGCAGAAAACTCATGAAGGACCCTATTGTGACTGGGATCGGTCTCCTCCTGTGCCAGTTTTTGATTGTGAACCTCTGTGATGAACAGGACCGTGGATAGTGTCCTGTAGTGAAGTTAATGCTGACAATATTTTGGGGAAAATTTTCTGTATCTAAGCATTAATCATGGCAAGATTATTAGAAAATGGTTTCTTGTATGGATGTAGCAGCTTGCATTCTGATGCAATATACACAATACACAATATCCAATATACACCTTTTGCAAGTATCCCCGCGTCCGTTGAAAGCTGGTGACATTTGTGACTGAAGGAAATGACTGAAAGGACAAAGTTACTTCAGAAGAATAGCGAGAGGTGGTGAGAGCAAACCTCATTTCTTACAGAAAGTGTTACAGGATCCTTTATGTTTACAGGGAACCCCCAAACTGTTTGCTCGTGAGGTGCAGTGTCGGAATTACGCTGAATGCCATGGGATATTGTCTGCTTAAGGAAACTTTGACTTAAAGTGTAAAAGTTGATTCCAAAGCTTTGGAAACTTCAGGAATAGCAAGAAGATTCTCTTCTGGGATATGAAAACAGCATTCGGGATATGAAACCTGATGCTTTGTTGCTACATACACCCGTTTTCATCAGGCATCCGTAAAATTTGGTTCTCTGTACAAAGATTTCTTGTACTGTATGTTCTTGGTACATCAGTAAAACCTGATACATCAGTAAAACTCTCACAAAAGGGACATTCTCGTGTACAGATGTAGCTGTGGAGTGATCTAGTGTTATGAAAAGGTTTTCTCTATTTGTGTATATGAGCTATGTACATCTTGAAAGTAGGTAAGAATGACACATCTTTCCTGGGGTTATCGCAGCAGGAAGCCAGTAACTCATTTTATCTAGCTGTGTCACTATCAACGAGGGTGGGAGAACTTCTAGTGTTGCTCAAATCTGTTAGTTTTCCAGAACATTTTCATATTTTGCAGAAAGATTTTAAAAAGCCTATTTTGGTGTGATGTGGACCGCATCTACCTGCTGCTCCTCCTCCTCAGACAGGTGACAGGAAACTTTGAATAATCTCTTCCAACTCGTATCTGTAGCAAACTTTTGGACTCACAATCCAGGCAAGTAATCCGCTCATGAGGATTTTCCGGTCTAGGGTACAAGTCCTTTCTCCCACCGAGCTGTTCTTTAGGACTGACCGATCAAAGATGATCCCCTCAGTCTCTCGCCTGAGCTCTGGCATCTCTGATTTCAGTATGTGTTAAAAGGGACCAAGCAGCAGTCGCTTCAACCCCGGGTTCCCCTCTTCTGCGCAGAGCCTTCGCCACATGGGCAAGGCTCAGTTTTGGTAGGAAATTTCTCTGCAGGCTTTCTTAATGAAACCTGTATCAGACTGAGTAGAGGCTCGTGAATAGCTTTTGATCTCAAAGAATTAGTGACAATTGATGAAAGGACATTGTCTCAAGAGGGTACTTAACCAGCTCTAGCAGTGCTGTGTTCAATAGCTTGCCCTCTTTTCCCAGCTATAATAAAAATTTACTCTGGTTTCTACAGTCTTCACCTGTCAGGCTGTCATGGTTGAAATAACATATTAATCAGGTTCAGGTGTCAATATCAAACTGTTTAGCCATTAATATCAAGAGTAAAACAGGGATAAATATTCCATCCTTGGCAATCTGTAACAATATTAGAATTTTTAAATTTTTTTTTAATTTTTACGTGTGCATTCAAAATATTTTTTTCCTTGCCCACTGGTATGAGAATGATTCTCAGAGGAAAATATTGAGTTGTACTGTTGAAAACGTGTGGTCAATCACAGTCATAAAGCTTTGAAAATGAGTACAGAGACTAGCCACACGGCTTTGCAGACTTTACATGGGTTGAAGGCACTTGCCCCAAGTATTCAGACAGTACATGTGCTTTGCATGTTAATTGAAGCTGACTGGTATCCAGGCTGCGGTGGTGTTAATCTTCTCTGCTGTGATATGTAATGCTATTTAAATAATAAAAAAAAAATCAACAGTATAAAAGGAAGCCCTCTAGCTAAGGAGATAAATATTTGTACACAGATACTGTTTTATTTATAACAGAGAGGAGAATGCTTGGAGCGGTTACTCAGAAATTTTATATTTCAAGAACACGCTGAAAACAGCTTCACTTTTTCCTGTAACTCAGTTTGGATCTAGAGTGGCTTTGGGTCTTTGAGCAGCTTAACTTTCATGGACTGAGTTCAGTTGCCCAGTCTCTAGTCATTTACTTTCTATCTCCCTGAATCTTATGATAACTAGTACTTTAGGGAACCATTAAAAGGAGTGGGAGCGGGGCTGTGGAATAGCGTACGCTTTGGATAACCTCTCGCCTTCACTGAGGACCCAACCTGCTGGCTTTACACAAAGGTATTGCTCTGCTGAATTCAGTGGGATTATTTGCTGGTATCCTCGGGTTTTTACGGGAGGTGCATACAGGTACTTTCCTTGGAAGGGCAATGCGGGAGGCTGTATTCTGGAATTGGCCCTTTTCCAAGGTTTTACACCTACTTGAGCTCCCTAGGGGGTCAGGGAAGGTTAAAATACATAGCGTTGCTCAGGACTAGGCTTTTCCTTTGAGCAGTTAAGGGATTATTCTGAGGACTAAAATGTGAAATAACTGAGAGTAGAACAAAGGCTCTCAGACTTTTTCCATAATATTTGGCACATGTTCACAGGGAATTTGCAGACTGGAGGAATAGCTTCCCTTGGAAATCTCATTAAGAAGGGCATTAGCTCTCTCTTAACATAATTAAACAACTAGATTGAGAGCTAATATTGTGTGACTAACCAATTCTTTGTAACTGCTGTGCTGATGACCGTAAGCTGAGAAACTTTTGGCTGACCTACAGCCTGGCTCACTTGTGGTATGTGCCGTGGTCTTAAGACAGCTTAATAATAGGAATGGTTAACATCTCCCTTCTGGCCTGGGATCTCCTTATCGACAGGAATTGGCCGCTTCTCCTACAACTAGCTCCATGGACTTCAGTGGAACCGGGTCTCGTAGATCTGTGCAAATTTTTAATTATGAACTTGAAAGAAAAAGGAGGAAAAAAAATAATGAACAAACCATTGAAAATTTAGGTTTTGATCACTCTATAATTAACTTTTTAAAACACAACAGAACAAAACATGCTATGGTTGAAAAAAGCGTTTTGTTCGTACAAAACAGGCAGTTACAATAAAAGCGAAGTAAATGATGAACTGGGTCCTTAAATTGATTGTGATAATTATATCAGTATGTTTCTTTTAGTCAGTAGCCTGATGGACTCGGCATTTTCCTGTGAAACAGTACGTGTGACTGAAACCTACTTGCTTGCTGCAACAAGTAGTCTATGGAGTAAAAGACAGTCAGCATTGCTTTAATACAAGCTCCTAAAAATAAAATGCATTAAAAGTTTGTGGTAATGTTTTTCTTTCCGTCAAAATGGTTTGGTGAATTTGACTGAATTCCGGAATTACTTCAACCACTCTGAAATGGAATTTTTCTGCTAATAAATTTGCTTGGATGCCTTTCAGTGGGACAGCCTGGCCTTGACTTTATGATTGCATTTAGGACTATTTCAAAAAAGTAGAGATACATGGAATGCATCAAAGGCAAACTATCACCAGGCTTTTATTTAGTAAAGGTAACTGGCAGCAGCTGCTGTGACTCAATGAATCAGAAATAGTTGTAGATAATGGATGGTAAGACAACGACAGTGTAATTTTTTTTTTTCACATGTAAGCGGCTGATCGTGTGACAAGGTTTTATTATAACAACTGTACTTCTGTTTTTTCAAATGATTGATGCACGCAGTACTCTGTATAATCTTCTTCGATGATGAATGTTGGTGCCATGAAGCAACCCTTACTCACTGTGCTATTATCGAACATGAATTTTGAATGACTTGTGGCATAGAGCTGCCGGGTACTTAAGTCAAGGAAATAAAAGTCAGGAAGAGCCAAAGATAATGTTCCTCCCACAATATTGACACCCGTGGCTTGTGTACAAACAATGCTTCTGGTAACTAGTTAAGGGGTCACATCTCTGGACTCCCCATACGCAGGGAAAAAGGAAGGAGGAAGCATATGAACTAAAGCTTACAGTTTGGATGTGAAAGTTGTTTTGGTTTTTTTCTCTTCATCCCCCCCCTACATTGGCAAGAAAAGCTGGAAATGGGTAGGAAGGATCAATGATTTGGCTCTAGGAAGGAGGTGAATTCATCTTCCACGTGTGCTGCCTGAGGCTGGAATCAGCCTGAAAGGTTGGGGAGCACCTTTCCTAGCTCTGCTCATCAAACACAATGTGTTGCTGCTCACACCTGGTGGTGCAGTTACACAGAAGAGGGGTATGGGAACACCTATTTCTCTTTGTACTAATCAGATTTCTGTTTTCCTTTTCTCTAGATTACGGTCTTTGGTAAAGCAGTTAGAGAGAGGGGAAGCTTCAGTTGTAGACCTAAAGAAGAATTTGGAATATGCTGCGACTGTTCTTGAGTCAGTGTACATTGACGAAACTAGGTGAGTTAACTACAGACGTCAACGCTGCTCTTATGTCTGGTACCAACGACACAAATTTGTAATTTACGTGTCAGTTGGGAAAGTTGTTTTAGCCAAGATTTATTGCTCACAGACAATATTTTTTTAGTCATTAAAATATTGTATTCTGTGTAGAGCAGATCTGCAATCCTTGGTCTAAAAGCTTCTTTAAGTTTCCTGAGGCAGGGGAGGAGATCAAAAGCAATCAAAAACGTAATATATATTCTCTCGGAGAAATGTTTTCATCATAATTGTGTCCCACTTTTTCTGCAAGTCTCTAAATTCCTGCTTTTCTATTCCTTTTGAATAGTGTTAAATCTTTTCACTTGTATCAAGTCTTTGAAATTAAAATTTTTTTTACTCCAGGTCATGATAGAGGTGGACTGCTAAGACGTTGCAGAGGAGTTCCCCTCTGTGTTGTATGCCATTTCCCCAGTGCTAAATGCATTTGTGGAGTCTCCTCAGATGACCAGAATGGGAAAGGAGAGGACTGTATGATACTAACTGGGAAGTTAGACATGACTGTAAATGAGCTCTGAAGGGCAGAAAGGTCAGGAATATTGACAATCTGAAGATCAGAAATCAGCAGATGATTACGCAGTTGTGCTTCAGAAGGCTGATACTTCTTGGTTGTCAGCCTAGTAGCGAGTTTCACAACCTGACGTTTAACTATACAAGAGAATAAACAATCTGTTGAAGACTTGTACAATTGTGTTCCATTAGGGCTGAGGAACCAAAGACTTTTAACAACCGTTTTAATCAGAATATATATGAGTTTCTTTTTTGTTAATAATGTTGCAATGCTCTCCGAGGAAGTCTGTTTACCTATCTTGTTCCTCCCCCTTCTAGGCGTTTACTGGACACAGAAGATGAGCTCAGTGACATTCAGTCCGACTCTGTGCCCTCAGAGGTCCGCGACTGGTTGGCTTCTACCTTCACACGGCAAATGGGGATGATGCTCAAAAGGACGGAGGAAAAACCCCGGTTCAGGAGTATTGTCCATGCAGTACAAGCTGGGATATTTGTGGAAAGGTAAAGGAGTGGGTAATTACTTTGTTCTAGTAGCTGCCCAGGTACCTCAGATTGCACCTGTAGTAGGTGATGACACAGTGACAGGAGGTGGAGGAGACTACCTTGGGCCAGAAGACCTCAGAGAACTAGGAGATGACTATTGAATGAAGAACACTTTGTTATACTTCTAATGATGTTTCTACACAAATCGGGATAGCACCTCGAAACCTGGGATTAAGTAATAGATTGCAACCTGAAACAGCACATACGGGTCTGTTCTTAGCGTGATACAGGTGTAATAGCACAGTTGGAATATTTTTGACAAGGAATATTCACCTCTGCATTGCCCTAGGTCAAGAGTGACAGCTTTTAAAATTCAGTCAGCCCAGAGCGAGCCCATCCTGCCTCTGTTTGCCTCTGTTTACCTCTGTGGTCTAGTATTTCTGACGAAGAACTGCTAAAAACCAGAAGAAAATCCTATATCATGGTATTACTGGAATGAACTATAGACCAAGACTGATGTGAAAAGTTTGGAGCTCAAGGAGGATTTCAGAAAACCCATTGAGTCCTCTCGACCTTCTCTGTTGTGATTTACATCAGAACTGACGGCTAAAACGGATTTTACTTTCTGAACCCTTTAAAACATGTAGTCATTTCAATTTGGACTCTCTTCCACTTCTGATGTTTTCTGATCGAGTAACCACTCTTTGCTGACATTCTTCCTTCAAGCTAGAAGGACGGCTGGCGCATGTGAAACTGTCAGCAGACTTTAGGCAGCGTGAAAGACAGCAGATCCCAGGTCTCTACAGCAAAACTCAAGTCAAGAATGGAAGAGCAGAGCACCGTTCGCTGTTCATCAGAGTCGCAGTGACAGCCTACCCGCCCTCTGTGCAGGAGGCTGGGCAGATCAGACCGTGGACCGCAAGCCACACAGACACACAGAAGCCTCCTCTGGCATGTCTATAGCCCATTTTTGTATCTGTGTACCAAAGTTACTGTACACGTGTTAAGAGTGGCAGCAAATTGTGATAAGACTAAACCTGTCATTTCTCCTTGGAGCAGGTTTCTCCCAGGTTTGACAGGCTATTGGTGAATTAACTCTCTCGGTGGGGGACTTGCTTAACAAGGAAATCAATGAACTGCAGAGAGCTGGCTGCAGGAGGCTGGTTTCCAGCTGATCTGAATCACTGTAGCCCAAAGGAGGAGGTGTTCAGATATGATATGGGACCAGAAGAGGGTTGTGGCTCATCTGGGCTAAGGGAGAGGGTCTCTGCCTGAATTGTCACTCAAGAGAAGGCTATGGGGCTCCTGACTGGAGCAAGTGAGGGGGTAAGACATTCTGTAATTTGGGGAAGGGGTGAATTTCTCCAAAGGGACCTGACTTTTTTTCAGGTCTGAGTGCAGAACATGACAAAGAGAAAGGGAAGTGAAGGACAACTTCACACAGGATCGTTTCAGATGGGAGAAGAGAGCTTTCCATCATCTCCTTTTAGCCCTACGTTGCTTAAGTGCCAAAAAGGGTGACCTGCGGAAAAGCATTTTAGCTATGACAGTGTTTTTGCATTCACCGAGCCTGTTAAACACAGTGTGGCCTGAAAACAAGTTTAAAATCTGATACATACTTCAGAGCTTTGTTTAGTGTGGTTGCAGATGTTGATTATTGCCTTATTCTCTCTCTCTCTCTCAAACACACACACATGGCGAACACCCAAAAGATTTTATACCAATCTTAAAAAAATGCCAACAAAAGTAACAGCTGTGCCAAACTGGAGTTGATTCATTGCAGACAACAAATGATTTCTGAAGTACATTCAGAATTAGCTTGCATGTGGACCAGCAAGGACTAAGGGAACTGAAAGAGCAGTATGATCATCTGCAGTGGAAAACGGGGAACATCTTATTTATTTAAGTCTAGCCTTTCCCTCTGATGAAGACCTGATACTGGCAGATTCTCTGTGTTGTCCTGCCAGGTAACCAAGCTATGAGGTACTGGGGACTGTATAGTCTCAAGTTAGGCTATATAATAAGAATGGTATAGAGAATATTGTGCAAGTTAGGAAGAAGAAGTAAGAAAAAAACCCAAATTGCAGTTAGGGTTTCCTGGGCTGAGTAAGATCTCCTGTAATGGTCTGTTGCTTTATGATTTTTGTTTGTTTGTTTTGTTAATTCTATTTATGTGTTGCCTTATCTGTTTTATCTTGATAGAATGTACAGACGGACTTCAAATATGGTCGGTTTGAGCTACCCACCAGCTGTAATTGGAGTGCTAAAGGTAATCCCAATAAAAAGGTGTTGGGGGGGTTTCTGTACAAAGCATCAAGATAACACTGTGATATTTGACTTGATAAGGGGGTTTTGGTACTTGTCCTTTCCTTCTCTCTGACATTTAGCTTAGTTCACATACATTAATCATTTACTGGCCTAAGGGAATATCCTTTCAATAAAGGAAAGAATAGAGTTCGTGGCTGTGGCCATTTTCAGGTTGTGAAGGTTACAGCTCTGTTCTGGTCTGCAGCTACAGAAATGTCAGGCCTTCCAGAATTGTTGAGCAGAATAACATCTATCCCTGAATCTGCTAGTTGGCTTCTGAAACAAATCCAATCTCCAAGGTTAAGGACAGACAGAAAGGCAGGAAACTGAGCATATAGGAAGAAGTGGTGTTTCACATCATCGCTAGGTTCCTCCAAGCAGTGGAGCAATGGCCAAGTAATAAGGACGCAGGACTGAGGAGACACCTTGGATCTATTTGCAGTTACACCACCGCGGGTATATGTGGCATTAGAGCAGCTTATGACACTTCAGCTGAGGCTACAGGGCCAGGGACCTAGAGACATGTGTAGCGCAGAAAGTTTCCTATCCCTTGCTTCTCCTGCTCTCCTGAAGGAGGAGAAACAGTTTTTCCTCCTCCGTCACCAGATTTCTGTGAAGTTCTGCCTACCTTTGGATCTCTCTCCAATATAAGGGTCACTTCTGTATTAATTTTTTTTTTAAGGTCATAAACTCCACTAATTTTCAAAGCGTAACTGGTGTTGCTGCAAGCCTCTAAGCCATTTGTGACACTTTCATGCTTCTGTTAAGAGGATTTTTCCCCATGGTTATTCAGGGTAAAATGCTCCTGTCATTATTGTCAATAGCAAAACTTCTGTTGACAAGAGCAAGGATTTCTCCCTCAGTAAAATCTAAATAGCTCTACTGTGAAACTTATTGTCTATGTGGTTAACCTTTATTTTGTGCGAAAGAGCAATTCTGATGTACTGTTCTGCAGTTTCACAATTTGGTAAAATTTATCTGCTGCAAAAGCACAACATTAACTACAGGAAAAATATATAAAGGAACAAAACCCTTTTATTTCCACAAGGTAAGATTGCCTTACAGTGAATTAAATTTCAGCATAGTTGAGACATCATTTTCAATGCCATAGGACCCAAAAGTAAATTATTATATAGGTGCAAGTGTTAAATTAATTTGCTTCATTGATGGAGATAAATGATTACAAAATAAAAACATTCAAAAAGCAGGGAAATAGTTAAAATTTGATGTGGATGATTTGGACATTTTTTTTCTTGCTCATTTTCTAAGTTTGTTCAAGGGCTTCAAAACATATTTTCTTGGTGGAACTTTTTCCTCTCTTGGTTGTTTTTCCTCTCCGACGCCTACTGAAAGTGTTGAAAAGCTGCAATTTATGATTGCTCTTCTGTGACTTGGGCCACAAATCATCTCTGGAGAAGCTCGCCCCTGCCTTCAATGTGTGGGCTCCACACAGCTTGTAATATCAACTGCTCGGCAAGGAAGTGATTTACTGGGATAGGTGAAAGCAGAGCTGAGTCTTCAGCATCCGTGATGTTCACTAATTAGCTTCTCTGTGGACTGTGCTTCCACAAGAGGCACACTCAGCAAGTAGCAAGGTTGTCAGGATCAGCCCACGCTGGAGAGAGCCGGTACCAAAATATATTGGTCTGGTTCAGAACATAAGAAGTCCTGTAGCTATGCTGATGTATGGGTGACTGACCACAAAGCGGTTAAAGGTCACTGTCCTTTGCGTTTGACGCGAAGTCAGGTCCTTAGCTGGAACATGACCATGACAACAAACAACAAAGGTGGATTGGGCTTTGAGAGCTCAGTAGATAACTGTAATTTAACATTTTTAGTATTGCTAAAAATATGGCAGATTTTAGATGGACTCTAATCTTTAACAGTACTCAACATTATGTCTAGCCAACCCCCGTTTCTTGCACTGAGAGCAGCTGTGCACATGCGTGTGTGAAATGAAGTCATCTTTCTTGGTGAAAGTGCCACAAAGAAATGGGAGGTAACCTGCAACAGAGTTTGGAAGTGGAGGGAAACTTCAATGTACAGGTGTCAACCTTTAATATGTGGTTTAAGGAGAGTCATTTGGATAAATCCCTGTGCGAGGTACATCAAAGTTCTCAGCAGGCAAGAGAGATTGAGAGCTGGTCCTGTGCCAGATGCAGCTGGGTGGTTGATCTGTATATCATTCTTGTAGCTATAACTCCTTCTGCACCTTCCCTCTTTGCTGCTAGGAGGAGGAGAGAAAAGTTCATAGGGTTTCGGGAACATCCAATTCTGAGATCAAGAAGCTTTATCCTGCTGGATGATGAGTGCTGTCAGCTCCCACAGCCTTCCCTAAGAGTTGAGCTTTGAACTCAACCTTCTATAAGAAGGTTTATACCTTATACTTTAGCTTTATGAGCTGGGAAATGAACTTTCCCTCCTCAATCTCTTGACTGACCACCCTGCCGCATTAATGTATCATTTGCAGCTGACTGGAACTTTCCCAACTGGAATGAGGTATTTACTCTTCCGTTATAAAGGTTGTTTTTTATATCATTGTTGGCATTTAATGTAACATTACTGTAATTTCCTCTGCTCTGTAGTTTTCCGAATGCCCCAGTGGACTCACTTATCTTTTAAAAAAAAAAAAAAAAAGAAAATTAGGGTCATGCTGTCTTCAGGTAATTTAAGCTGCAATGATCACAATTCAGGATTAATATTAAAATCAGAAGAAACTAAGTTGCTCTTTGGATCTAGCAAGATAGTTGTTCTAGTCAATTGTTATTTTGGTTGATTGAACGGTAAGTGGTAAAAATTTGATCACAGGTGCCTGTATTCTTTTTACTGCAAAAAACATATGACCTTAATCTGTTTTAAGCGTGAGTGAAGCATTGGAGTGCTTTGCTCACAATACGGAATCATAAGAACTCTGTAAGGACAGCAAAATCCAGAGGCTTTAATATCATTAAGAAGTGTATCTTCATTATTCCTGTTTCCTTCAAAGTTAATACTCTTTTTCATAGACATAGCACGTGGGTAGGGGACAGAGAGGGTCAAATGAGCCACAGTAGGGCCATCCTGATGTTTCAGGTACTAAAGCAAACCAAGATTCTTATCTTTTTGGATTCAGCCTTTAGTGATGAAATTCCGTTTTGGAGAATTGCCATGTTTAGAATAATCAAACAGCATACATGTTCTCAATAGAAGCTTCTTAAACATGAGTCATACAATACTGATGAGTAAATTAAACTCTGCATTGGTTAAAAGGAATTGAAGAATTTTTTAAAAAAAAAGCTATGCACTTACATCACCACTCTTAATTCCGTATTTGTAGACGTAAAGCGATAGAAATTGAACTATCATTGTAAAAGGGATGACCACATTAACTGTCTTTTCTACCCACTCTTGCAGAATGTAGACAAGTGGTCCTTTGATGTATTTGCACTAAACGATGCCAGTGGGGATCATGCACTGAAATTCATTTTCTATGAACTTCTCACGCGCTATGATCTGATCAACCGTTTCAAGGTCAGTAGTTAGAAGATGGGTCTCTTCTTCCATCTCAGGTTTTGTTCAACTTCCCTCTCATCCTGCTTTGTTCCATGCAAAATGCAATTTTAGTGCTATTTCAAGGCTTCGTGGACGCTGCACTTTCTCCAGTAAGCAAGACCAAATGTTATTTAAGTAGTACTTTTAATTGCAATGGGACACCACGAAGTAGAGTGGATTCCAAATAGGCTTCCCCATGAAATCCGTGGGAAATACTACATTTGATCCTGTAGAAGGCTCCGGGGAGACCTTAGAGCAGCCTGCCAGTACCTACAAGGGCTGACAAGAAAGGTGGGGACGAGCTTTTTAGCAGGGCCTGTTGCGGTGGGAAATACTACATTTGATCCTGTAGAAATGATAGTGTCATTCTCCTGAGATTCACAGGACTCTCAAACATGCAGGCAAAAAAAGGAGAGCTTGAATTCAAATTCAAATTCACCCAAAGCAGCGTGACCAGCGTGTGGAGGGAGATGATTAACAGGACCTGTTGCAAAAGCCAAGGGGTAATGGCTTTAAACTAAAAGAGGGTAGATTTAGACCAGATACAAGGAAGAAATTTTTTATGCTGAGGGTGGTGAAACCCTGGCAGAGGTTGCCCAGAGAGGTGGTAGATGCTCCATCCCTGGAGACATTCAAGGTCAAGCTGGATGGGGCTCTGAGCAACCTGATTGAGTTGAAGATGTCCCTGCTGACTGCAAGGGGCTTGGACTGGATGGCCTTTAAAGGTCCCTTCCAACCCAAACTATTCTATAATTCTGTAATTGTTACAGAGGTTTGCAGATACAACTGCTACATCTCTTTTCCTCCAGCTTTGAACAGGCTTAAATTTGTATGGCAGAAACATTGTTCTCAGATCTTGACTGTTCACCCCACCTAAATACTCCACTGTCCCTTCCTCCATTGACATTTCCATTCCCTGGAGGTCCCTGCACACTTTGGCTGGAAGGGGTTTACACATCTCTGGCTCCTGCACTTCTTCAGGAACCACCCATGCTTGATGAGAAATGTTTGCAGAAGGTAACTGGTCAGAACTGCGTCCTTCCCTGGTACATACCCAAGGGGAGGATTACAGTGCTCCTCTAACTATGGAAATAGGAGCATTTAGGGTATTTGCTGTTTGAGCAGATGAAACTGGAGGAACCCATGTTGCCAGTTGCATGTGTTGCAGCTGATGCCACCTGCACAGTCTCCTTTCTAGAAATCCCCTGAATTGCATTTTCTCAAGTGTGCGGAGTTCTACTCTTGGAGTCAGAAAGACATGGCAAGCCCGTAGCATGGGCAGGCTGGATTTTACCGTAAAAAGCCAGAGATTTGATAAATGATACTGCTCTTAGTAGAGTATCTCAGACTTGTTATGTGATGATTTTCATTAGAAAATCTTGAATGTGAACAGTAAAGCAGAGATATATTCCAGTGGGTTGCGAGGGGAACAGACGAATGCTTGTGGCTTAATTAGAAATATTTGTTCAGGAGCAATCAATCAAGGGTTCTCTGTTACTTTTCATACTGCACCGGCCTTCCAGACAGCATTTCGTAGTATACTTGCTTATGTGTCTTTATGTGTTGGTATGATTGAGGAAGTAACCTGGATTCACTCTCTCTCGAGTGCCTGTTTCAGATGGTTTAGCACATTATTTATTTGTGAAGTACAAACTCCTCTTCGGGACCTCTTATCAAAATGCTCCCCTCTGAATGCTAGCCATTAAAGGTGATTATTTTGTTTTTAATTCTGTGCTGCTTTACCTCAGATCCCCATTTCTGCCCTGGTGTCCTTTGTGGAAGCTCTGGAGGTTGGCTACAGCAAACACAAAAATCCTTATCACAACCTAATGCACGCTGCAGATGTGACACAGACGGTCCATTACCTCCTTTTCAAGACAGGCGTAGCGGTAAGTACAGGCGTTGGCATTCTGAATATATAACGAGATTACAACAGTTTCTGCTCAGTAAGGAGATTATGATTATCCACAGTAGAACCCATTTCACTGTAGACAAACTTCATTTGATATGGTTGTGCTAATGAAAGTAGAGATTTAGGATTATTTAGAAATAGATGGTAGGTGAAGATGTCGGTGACTCTTTTAACAGTGATCTAAAAGATGATGAATGAGAAACGCAAGCTCAGTTTTTCACTCTGCCACAGATCTCCTGGGTGATTTTGCCAACACGCTTTTGTTGGAATTCATTTCACCTGATGTGAAGAAGCAAATTTTCTAAGGTTTCTTCTTACTTAAGGGAGCGAGGCAGTACTTCCAAAGGACAATTCATGCCACTGACCTGAGGATGACAAGAGCCTTGCTCTGCAGGTGCTGATCTCCCTCCAGTCTCTACAGCAAAACCAGCTGAACGGGCTTCCCTAGGAACCTACAGACAGCCCAAGCATGCAGGCTGCAGCACCAGAATGTGTTACGTAGACTTTGAAGATGATTGTGGAAACAAAGTGCTAAAGCTGGTCAGAGCAATTGAAGATGATTGTGGAAACAAAGTGCTAATGCTGGTCAGAGCAAAAAGTAACAGCTGTGGGTGTCCCAGGCTCCGGTCTGACTGAAAAGCAAAACCAAGAAGTGGAAAAATATCTCTTTTCAATTCTGTCTGTAATGTGTTTCAGCCTTATCTCAACCTGGCAAGAAATGCCCAAACTCTCATCGTCTGGCATATGTCTTTTGAGATTTTCTCTCGTGCATTATCTATGTCCACATACCTTTCAAAGTCACCCGCTGTTGTGATACTCTCGTGCATTACCTATGTCCAGTAAATTGTCTATGTCCACACGCCTTTCGAAGTCACCCGCTGTTGTGATGCCTTCTTTTCTAATGTCTCTGAAGTCTTTTTCCTCTCGGTTTCAGAGGAAACAATGTTCTGAAATATGTGCAGGGGTCAGAGAATGTGCGTATTCTGGATTTACGTCTAGAAAAGGGAAGCTAGAATTTGTGAGCACATGTACACGCTGGCACTGAAGTCAGCGACTCATTTGCCCGAGCTGAGCCCTGTGCCCCTGTATTCATCCTGGCATAAACTCTGCACAAAGTATCCCATGCAGACCGTTATGATGGAGTTGCACTCCAGAGGACGTAGTGAAGTGTCTGCTGTTTCCCAGGAATAATCCTTGCAATAATTGTTCCAGAAATAATAAGTGGTGCTTGGTTTAGGATCTAATGTAGCACAATAAGAAAGCATTCTCCTGCTACCAGGAAGAAGGGACTTGCAGCACTGCATGCCAACAGTGACATTTCAGCTTTGCTTCTCTTGTTAGAAAGCCATTTTCTATTTTGTTTTTTTTTCTTTTTTCTTCCTTTTTCTTCATTTCCACCCCACCTCCCCTGCAGGGGAGAACCCATCTCAATGTGCATAGATTAATATAGTTTGAAAATGAGCTCCAGAGGTCATGGATCCTAACCTCCTGCTCACAGCAGGGCTAGCTTCTAACATGCATAGTATGTTCACACATGGTAAAGAAAGGTAGGGGACATTTTCCTGTTTCCAGAATTTGCTTCCATCAGTGTCTTACCCTTACTCTAGCCTACATGGTTGCTCAGTTCATCATTTTCTCAATATTTACACAAGGAACTTGGACATGCTGGAACGCAAGAATTTCAGAAGGCATGTTGGGGCCATTGGTTTACTTCTTCACTGGGATAAAGACAGAGACTTGTGAAAAAATCATACTATAAAATAGGAAAAAACCCCTCAGTTATCTTGTTAACTAGTTATTGGCAATGTGGAAAAATTGCTTTTTTTTTTTCAAATTTAAATAGTCTGTATACTGGTAATTTGTTCTAGTCTCAAAGGGAAGAAACAATTGTCTGGTTTATCTTTGCATGGTTCGTTTGCCTTTGTCATGCTCCCTGTTATTTACAAGCTCTTTCAGCAGTTTTGTTCCAGGCTTCTTTTTTCTTCTGTTTTCTTTTCAATTAAAAAAAAAAATCTTCTTTACCTTTATTCATATTCAGTACCTGAAATGTCTTTAGTTTTCCTGTTATTTTCTTCCTCAGGATGATGCCTTGGAATTAATTTGTTGTACTTCACCATATAAACTGGAATATTTTGCGTTTTCTCATAGATGTAACGTTGAAAGAGAACTTGTAATTGCTCTGATGTCCCTCTCTTAGAGGACCGGTATACAGCACAATGTGTATGAAAAACTTCCAAGAGCTGACACACTTTTTGCTCATTTCATTCTTTCCTTTTTTTAACTGTTATTCCGCTGAGATGATTACTTTCTTCGGTATTATTTTCTGATTAATCTTTATAATTATTCAGAATTACCATATGATTTCTTTGTGAATCCAGACAATGAGGTGCAGATGGTAAAGCTTAGGAGTTCTTTCTCTGGTACTGTTAAGAATTACAGGAGAATATTTCCTGCGGCAGACCTGTAAAACTGCAGAAGTACAGGACTTCTGTCACATCTGTTTGTACCAAAGGGAAGGGAGATCCTCCTCTCCTCTGGACTATTGTGATTAATAAGCAGATCATCATGAGCTCCGAAAATGATAACTACTTTGGAATAAAAGACCATAAACTCTGGGGAAGGAAACAAGCTAATTATTGCTGTCTTTGCTTTGTATTATTTTCTTGGAAATGCATCCATTTGTTTTGTTAGATTTGGAAACGCTGCTCGTTCCTCTTCCTCCTTCTTTCTGTATGCGTTGATCCTTTTGTTTACATGCCAATGACTTGCCTTTGTAGCTAATTCTTCATATTTATTGTATGTTAGTGAAAGACAATCATGCCTCATTACCGTTCTTTTGTTTCCACTCTGGAAGCCAATACTTGTTCTTTCATGCCTTCTTCCCCTACCATCCCCCACCTCCTATGATCACAGAAGGTTTGAAGGTTTTGTTCTGGATTGGTTTTGTCAGCCCTTTAGAAATGAAAAACATTCACATTTCCTCACTCTTTTCACCTCCTACCGTGTCCTGCTGCTTTCTGAGTAGTTCTTGATGGCTTTATTCTTTAAAATTAGCTCTCTGTTCCCAAGATGAAGTCCATCACAGACTAGCAAAAGGTAGTATCACCGCTTTGATGGAGATTGCATCCATTCTCTGCAGGTTCTTTGCCATCATATTTGCTTTTCCTTGCAAGGCTGTAGCAGAAAAAAGCGACTAAAAGGGTTCAATTATGTACCTGCTATTTCCCTTCTGTTACTCACAAGCCTATTTCGACTTTTTGCTACTTACGTTAATTTATTTATTACCCACTGTTCACAACTGTAATCTCAGTCTGTATTCTGTGTGGTCTTCCTCAAATACTATTATGATATTTAATACCTCTCCTCAGGTGTATTACACCCTATTTGAAAACCTACATTACCCAGAATTGTTCAACAAGTGATGCTTTGGTAGGGCATGCAAATGAGCACTTTTCCTGTATGTGTCCTAAGAGATGAGGTAGGAGACATCAAGCACAGAGCTCATTGCCCTAGTGATGTTTTAAGACTTGGGTCATAAGATCCTGTTGGAGTGGGACTTGCCAGGTGGTGCCCAGAAGGTCTGAAGTGGATGCATTAGACTAGCTGGATGTGTCCCGTAGTAGTTCTACCTGCATAATGTAGGTTTGCTCTGCCTGTTCCTGAGCGCTTGTGCCTGATTTTTTTCTGTCATTTGCATTCTCTCCTTTTGGGAAATGGCAGAACACGGTTGAGGAATGGAAGTCCAGATCTAGACTTGCAGCCTCGAAACACTAGTTCCTTTTTGCCCCCATTGCAGTTGCCAGAAGTTGTTGCTTGAAAGTTGAAATCATGTCCTTCATCACCTGCAAAGTGTTCCTTATGCACAAGTCACACCTGGAAACAGAAACATCACAGATTTCTCTACCACCAGTGCTTGCCCATTCCTGTGCTGGACCAAATGTGTAGAAATGAGAAAATAGTTTAGTTTCCCTGTGCATCTCTTCACTCTCCTCTCTCTCTCGAGAAAAAAAAAAATAAAAAAAAAAAAGAAGAGCTACCTTGATTATAGTCAGTGGCATTGTGTGAAATATCTCTGGCCAGTATTTTCAAACTGCATCTTTAATATAAGGAGGTCTTTGATACTGAGACTTGTTTCATTCTTCATTGGTTATGCAGAGATGGCTGTGCAAGGCAGGCGAAGAACTGGACGGGTCTCTGTGTGCAGAGCCCCCCGGTTACCTGTGCTTCCCCTGCATGGGGGTAACAGGCCAGTGGTGGTCCCTGAGCTATAGTAGCTGTCTGGAATAGATTTGTGAAACCATACTGCCTTTACTGGGCTTTGAATTAAAAGGCGGCTTGTACGTGAACATCTGTCAAAATGTTTGCAGGTTGACAGTGAACTGTTACAAAAATATTTGACAACCACTGTGGTAAAGGTTTTCTCTAAATGTGATGCTCTTAAGCATTTCATACAAATATTTACAGCATCTATAGTATTTAGAGCCTTTGTCTCTGATGCGCTTGATGTTAACAGCACTCCTTGTGTGCTGCCAGTGGAAAACCAGACATAAAACGATTGATTGACTCAGAGGAAACTTATTAAAAGCATCTGCGTCGTTTAGAAATCGAAGTCAAAAGTGACTTAAGCATTGAGAAATAAGGCTTCAACTAGGCAATTAGGAAAAAAACCCTCAGGGCTTTCTCAGATGTTTCTATAGATGATAAATAAATATCAAGACATACATCTTCTGAGGTTGTGTTCTCTGTTCTCCTCATGATTCAGTGATTGACAAAGACTTTTTGTTGCCAGAAATGAGCGACATTTTTCTGTATTTGTGGCTCTGCTGCCCAGGTCAACTGAGCTGAAAATACATACCCTGGTGGGTACGTGCATACCTCCACGTGTATCATCGAGCTCCAGTTGGAGAACCTTGACTTTCTTGAGGTTTCCCTCTCTCTCTTCCTCACACATTGCTCTTTAAGAAGGGCACACGTTTCCCCTTGCTGTGCCTTAAGCCTTATTAGCTCCTGAAACCGTTTTGCTGAAGTTCAATTTATTTAGATGGAGCTTCAGGAAAAACCCTGGTTCGGCTTTTGTATATCAACCAGACAAGTTTGCTTTAAAACAGCTGGCAGGCTGCAGGGGAAAGGCAATGATGTGCAGCGTTGACTGTCAGCAGGGGATAACTTGCCTTAAAAGACAAAAGCCTTAATGCCTGGGAAAATGACAGCTTATCTGATTGCTCTGTAATCTCTTTTCAGCACTGGCTGACAGAGCTGGAGATCTTCGCTATGATCTTCGCAGCTGCCATCCACGACTATGAACACACTGGAACCACCAACAACTTTCACATCCAGACACGGTGAGGACACTGAAAATCATGACGAAGGGTTGGGAAATGGAGGGGGAAACCTTAGGAGATTAACGGCACAGCCACCTAGAAAAGTGCAGAAGCTTTTGCTTTCAAGTGTTACAGGAGGAAACTTCACTTCCTTATGTTGCATTTAATTTTCTCTTGCTCAACCATTTACAATGGAATGCATGTATTCTAGCTTCCTGAGCATGGTTTCATATTAATAAACAGGAAAAAGGAAAATCCCAAAATGTTTCTGTGTAAAGTTCCCAAAGACAAATTGCTGTAGAGAGTGATACACTTTTTGACGAAGGTGTAGTTTTGGAGGAGATACTACAAACGTTTTTTCTCCTTGTTGAATCTGAGGAATCAAACATTAACTGCATAAATCAAGAATTCAGCAATGTCTATATTCATCAGTGACCTCCAATGCTACACAGACTATTTTTAATGGAGTGGGAAACCACACCTGCAGCAAGGGGATGTTTACCATTGCCTGTTCAGGGATATAATATTTTTAAAGCTTTGTAATTGCTAGAGAGTAATTAGCTGATCACGAACTAGGCTGGACTCGTGCATTTTTTGAACTCAGAATCTTCTATAAGGCTTTTGGGTTGGTGGGAGAGAGAAGGAGACGATAAAGAAGGCAGCAAAATTCGGAAGTGTGCAAAGATTGTGAAGTCTCTAGTTGCAGTGATAATTGGGCGTCTGGTGTCTCTGTATTATTTTGACAATGGGAGTGTACTGGTAGCAATGACAAAATGTCTACGTGTCCTCGACTGACACTGCACCCTTGGGCATTTCTACCATGCATTGCATCTTACCCTAAATTAGATGTCTGGAGTATGTAACAAAGAGACTAGGTGAGTGTCAACTGATGAAATAGATTTTGCAGTGAATTTTGATCTTTATTTTACTATTTTCACTATTTTAGTGAATAACAGCAATGAGCAAAGTATTACAAATGCTCTTAAAATGCTCATATCTGTGCTGTAGAACTAATCTCTGTAGCTAATCAAAGGAAAACTTTGGAATGTGAGACTCTTTAGACAGGGAAGAAGCATAACCTTTCCTATGTTTTCTTTGGAATACTAGGTCAGACTCAGCCATTCTATATAATGACCGATCTGTGCTTGAGAATCACCACGTTAGTGCGGCGTATCGTCTTTTGCAAGATGATGAAGAGATGAATATTTTATCTAACCTCTCAAAGGATGACTGGAGGTAAAAATTAACATGGTGGCTGCCTAGGAACGTTGCAGCATCACCATAGATGACTATTTCCTTGTTTGAATGGCATTATGCGTTATTGTTTATTGCATATTAGTGTTTCTGTTGCTACAAGAAAAAGAGCTTTAAAAGGTGTTTGTCTTGCTTATTTCTGCTTTTGGTTTTCACCTCTGGTAGTGAGACTAAACTTTGTGTCGATGGATTATAATATACAAATTGACTCCCATCTAATGTCTAAGTCTCACAAAGGCACCCTTTGTACACATCCATTTGTAACTGAGTGTGAAGCTAGCCTGCTGTTTGTTCATCCTAAAGCATAAACATAACCTTTATCTACTTTGACACTCCCTGCCTGGAAATTATAAATGAGACTTAATGCAAAAAAGAAGCCAGTCCAAGAAGCATAAATCAGTGTACTATATATGCCAAGGTGATGTAAGTAGCTGTAATTTAAAATAAGCCTCATGTGCAACGTATGATTTATATGCCAAAATCAGCCCATGATTTGCTTTCTAATAGCAGACGCTTCAAACTGAGGAGGGCTTTCTGTTTTTATGAGGTTTTTTTGAACTCCAAGGAGCGGTACTTTAAAAATAGCCCAGTGTGTTAGACAGGAAGAATCCTGCTCCGTGGTCTTCCTCATGGGAGGGGAAGCAACTTGTGGGATCTTACATGACGCACAGTGCCTCCTGCACACGCTTAAATGTGATACAGTGCTGAGCAGTCAGTTCATCTTATTTTAATATAAATGTGGGGAAATGAGCCCCTTCTCTGGGGCCTGGCTTCTAGCAAACTGGTCAGTGAAGGCTCTGCTTGCTAATCTGTTCAGCCTGAATTTCCTCTTTATTTCGACTTGTGGACAGTGATGCGATGGACGGGAATAAAACTCAGGAACTTAGGTGGCTGATTTCAGTCAATGTGAGCGTTGTGGAGGAGTAGCCTTCTATCCCCCAATATAGAAAATAGTCCCCTGGTGGGCAGCAAGCAGGAACTTTAAAAAAGAAAAAAAATCTGCATTGAGGTGTTAAAAATCTAATTTATTTTTTTAGCTACAGCTGGTAATGCCTTGTCAAATATTGGCAGCAAATTGCTGGTTCCTTTTATGTTGGCGGGGGAAAGGCAAGGAACTAACTGACTAGAAACAGCAGCCTTAGAGCCAAGGTCTGCAAGGAGCAGCGGAGCAGCTAGTTGAGTATGCTTCATTGCATGGATACTGTCTTTAGGAAACTGGTCTGCTTTGGAGCTCGAAACTGGTTTTGCTTGAATCAAAGCTAGCCTCAGATATTTCTCATTGATTCTGTAGTGTCAACATGTGTGTTCTGGTAAGGCAATATGCTTACACCCAAAGTTTCAAAGATTAACCCATCTCTTTAAGAAACACTGTAACTGCCTGAGCAAAAATATTGAGTGGTTTGGATTGCTTATTTGTTCTCTCTCAAGTAGGGCTTTATTATTTTGTAGCTGCCGATCAAGCAGCAGCTGCAGAATAAAGGCCATTATCTGGATGTGCTCTAATTCCAAAACATTATGGGTTTTGTGTGCTTTTGCTTTTGACTGCCAGTTTGAAATCCCATAGGCAAACATTTGGGAAGCACTGGAAACATCAGCTGACTTCA